TCGCCGGGGCCCCCCGGGCCACCCGCCCGGGGCCCCCCCGCCGCGGGCTGGGCCAGCCCCGGTGCCCATCGGAGCTCCGCCTGCGGGGAGAGGCGAGGAGGCGGCGGGAGAGGGCCAGCGTGCAGAAATCGCTGGCGCAGAGGAGAAGGTGAATCTTACCAGGCTTACGGCTGTGGTCTCGGCCGGTTATTGCCGCTCTCCTGTTGTTGTTATCCAACTCCTCAGAACAAAAGCGAGACCTAAAGATTTACTATGGTGTGGTAAACATTCTGCAAGCGAATGTTTGAACATGTAGGAACATGTTAAGTTGAATTTACTTAGCAGAGTAAAACACAGTTTAGTGACACAAGTTGGGAATTATACATTTCACGTCGATGTCAGTTGTTCACACCAAATGATGTCTTGTGTTGACCGTTCCATTAAATGGTGGGAGATAAACCTTTCTGTAGATTGGTTGCATACAGTAGTGATGTGCTACATTTAGTGCAGTATTTCCCTTTGCTCCAGGTTTGTTCAAACACTTTTTTTTCCCATTTTTTTTCCCTGAAACTTCAAGAATGACAGTGGAGATGCTTTGAGAAAACATTTATTTATTAAATGCATTGATACTGCCATTGAAAAAATAATGAACCAGTATAACACAGATGTGAAATAGCTCTGCTCAAAAGCCCAGGGAGAAAAGAGCATGGGGCATGAGAGCGTATGGACAGTAATTCTATTTCAGTTAAGCAAATGCAGAGTCATTTGTAGTGCTAGCTGTGAAACACATGCGTCTTCATGTAATTTTAACCGAGTTTGCATGTCGTTCTGCTGTATTCATCAATTTTCAGTAATATCTTCAAGCAGATCTGCCTTAACAATTGAAAATTTCCTGCTAAATTTAATTTATGCTGGATTGATATCAGACCCACTTTGAGGTCGCCAAAAATTTGGTGATGATAAACTAAAACCACAATCAGATGCCCCCCCCCCCCCCCCCCCCGCCCTTCTAGCAGTGAGGCAGATGATAGGAGTTGAGCTTTAGCTGGGTTTCCCTCTTGTGCCTCTTGGGAATGCAAGTTTATAAAGGAGCATCCTGGACTCCCACAAATCTCGTTCCTTAAAACTGCTCCATGCTTTCATATCGACTGTAATCAGTATCTCCAAGTGCAACGAGAAGTGATTCACTCATTAAAGGCTGAAGTATCATAAAGCTCACTTGTGAGACTGAAAGCTGCTTTGTTCGGAGTCTGAAGCGCAGCAAAAAATTCAATAGATTTGAATGCACAACAGCAGCACGACTTGGGAGGGGGGCGGGGAGAGCAGTTGAAGGGGACTGCCAAGTTTGACGAAGGAGGAACCTGCCCAAAATACGCTAGAAAGAAGAACCTGAGAACGCAGGAACTGCCCGGATAGATTTTTTTTCTAAAGAATTAAATTGAACAAAGCTACCCGGAGATCATGCAGAGATCTTCTGCGTCAGTCATCGTACTTGGTAGTTGGAAGTAGGCCCGAGGTGAGCTCATCCTGAGATCAGGATACGCAGTCCTGATTTTGGGCTGGATGTTCAGAGCCACTGGGCTCTCTGGAGTCATGTAACTAATGTCTGCTTGGAACAGTACCCCCTTCGCTGCATGTTAGCATCGAGATTTATTGTTTTCAGTATTTGCTATCCTTTCTGCTCTCTTTTAATGATAAATGATGCCCCTAGTGTTCTGAATACTTTAGTCTGAAATGCCAATAAATCTTACAAGCGATATTAGGAAGTTACTTCCTACATACTGACAGTAGCTTCGCTTAGTTTTGCATGTAGCTTGCCTCTTGGTATTTTTGCAGTTAAAAAGACTGATGGAGTCTAGTATCCAAAACTTGTAGGTAAATTAAACATAATAAAACTGCTTATTTACTTCATTAATATGTGGTATTAATACCTCATGTTTGAGCCCAGTAGCAGGCTTCAAAAGACAAAAATGCTTGTGGAGATTCGGACAGCCGTGAAAACCCTCAAATAAGTCATTGCGTTTGTGTAGCGTTGCTACTGCTACCTAAGATCCATTATTTAATTATATGCCAACAAGCATCATATCATGAACTAATCACGATTCCTTTTCTTGCTGAAAGAGCGAGAGCCCTCTGAAGTGCCGAGAACCAAAACTTCCCATCACGGCACCCCCGTCCCAGCGGCCCCCGCTCAGCCTGAGCCTTCCTCCGCCTGAGCCTTGGGTTCGGGGCAGGGTGCCGTTAGCAGGGCTGGGAAACGCAGGTGGGATGCTGTGAAGCAGCACCTCTCCTGTCCCTCTGCTGCGCCTGTGCCCACCAAGGCCAGGGGAGCTCCCCCGGGGCCATGGGGCCGCTGCTGGCTCCCCCCGTTCTTGGCCTGTGAAGCTGCCAGCACCCCCAGGTGTCCTGAGGTGAGTAAGAACCGTTCTTCTGTACTGGCGACCAGATCAGGTGTGTTCAGGAATACTTTTCAGGTGGCATAGATCTGCTTTTGCCATGAGAACCAACAAGCGGCCTGGAAGTCTCCACATTTGCTTTTTACAGTACATCAGCCATCCTCAAGCAGCCTCAGCCTCTCTCCCCCTCATAACCCTTTCAGCTGCTGAAAGAGAGTTACGAGCAGCTGGTGCCATGAGTGCTTAAAGTAATCGATACTTGCTTCGGGGTGGATAGCTTCCCTTCTTCCTCGAAACACGTCAGTATGATTTATGATGGAAAACAAAACAAAAAAACCCCACATATTCTGGGTCGGTCTCTTTCTCTCTCTCTTTTTTAAAAAAAGATAGGTAATAAATGGTGTCGGCCTTACTGCTGTTTCGGAGCAAGCCTGGAGAAGCCCGGCACAGGTGAAGCCCCCGTGTCTCTAACTGAACAGCCCCAGCCCTGTGCATCCCTGCGTTTGCCCTCGGCTTCCAGCCCGAGCCTCAGCTCCCCCACCCACGGACACACGCAGTACCTTTTTTTTCCTTCCCCAAGTTGAAGGGAGAGCATGTTGGTGCCCAGCCCTTACGCCCTGGCGTGCTGTCTGCCGCTCAGCAGCAGCCTGGCAGAGCCC